ATGAGATTATTTAGTCCATTTAAAGCTATACAGTACAGTCACCCAAAAAAGTCCTGTTGCGAACCATGAACCCCGAGATTCAGACTCTTGAATCCGAAGCATTTATGGACAGAATAATGTATCGGTGTCTACTGCTTCGGGTTCACGAGTCTGAATCGTGGTTCGTGACAGGACTTTTTTGGGTAACTGTACATGTACTATACTTAGAATGTACTGTATATACAGTATTTCGTATTCTAACAATAGTGAGTGCCAACTTAATAAATGTAGATGTCCCCTGCATAAGAGTACATTGTGGTAGCCCCTGTATACATTGAGGCTGTGTTCGCTGTATACATTGAGGCTGTGTCCACTGTATACATTGTGGCTGTGCCCCCTGTATACATCGAGGCTGTGCCCCCTGTATACATCGAGGCTGTGCCCCCTGTATACATCGAGGCTGTGTCCGCTGTATACATTGTGGCTGTGCCCCCTGTATACATTGAGGCTGTGTCTGCTGTATACAATGTGGCTGTGCCCCCTGTATACATTGAGGCTGTGTCCGCTGTATACAATGTGGCCGTGCCCCCTGTATACATTGAGGCTGTGTCCGCTGTATACATTGTGGCTGTGCCCCCTGTATACACAGGGGCACGCCTCCCCACATCGAGGCTGTGTCCGCTGTATACATTGTGGCTGTGTCCGCTGTATACATTGTGGCTGTGTCCCTGTATACACATTGTGGCTGTACCGGCTTGTATACATTGTGGCTGTGTCCCTGTATACATTGTGGCTGTGTCCGGTGAAACATTGTGGCTGTGTCCACACATTGTACAGCCGCTGTATACATTGTCGCCCCCTATACATTGAGGCTGTGTCCACTGTATACAATGTAGCTGTTCCCCATACATCGTGAGGCTGTCCGCTGTATACATTGCGTGCCCTGGATACATTGTGGTTGTGTCCCTGATACATTTGGTTGTGTCCCTGTATACATTGAGGCTGTGCCCCACATTGAGGCTGTGTCCGCTGTATACAATGTGGCTGTGTCCGCTGTATACAATGTGCCCCCTGTATACACTAGTACAGTCCTGATGGTTGTGGCTTGTCCCTGGATACATTGTGGTTGTGTCCTGGACATTGTGGTTGTGTCCCTGGATACATTGTATGTGCCCCTACATTGTGGTTGTGTCCCCTGGGTACATTGTGGTTGTGTCCCTGGGTACATTTAGGTTGTGTCCCCTGGATACATTTGGTTGTGTCCCCTGGATACATTGTGGTTGTGTCCCCTGGGTACATTGTTTGTGCCCCTGTATACATTGTGGTTGTGTCCTGGCACATTGTGGTTGTGTCCCCTGTACATTGTGGTTGTGTCCTGGATACAGTGTGGTTGTGTCCCCTGGGTACATTGTGGTTGTGTCCTGGTACATTGTGGTTGTGTCCCTGGGTACATTGTGGTTGTGGCCCTGGGTACATTGTGGTTGTGTCCTGGGTACATTGTGGTTGTGTCCTGTACATTTGGTTGTGCCCCTGGTACATTGTGGTTGTGTCCCCTGGGTACATTGTGGTTGTGTCCCTGGGTACATTGTGGTTGTGGCCCTGGTACATTGTGGGTCCTGGGTACATTGTGGTTGTGTCCCCTGGGAACATTGTGGTTGTGTCCTGGGTACATTGTGGTTTGGCCCTGACATTGTGGTTAGTCCCCTGGGCACATTGTGGTTGTGTCCCCTGGGTACATTGTGGTTGTGTCCCCTGGGTACATTGTGGTTGTGTCCCCTGGGTACATTGTGGTTGTGTCCTGGGTACATTGTGTTGTGTCCCCTGGGTACATTGTGGTGTGGCCCTGACATTTGGCGGCCCTGGGTACATTGGGGTCCTGGCACATTGTGTAGGCCCCTGGGCACATGTGGTTGTGGGCCCCTGGGTACATTGTGGCTAGCCCCGGTACATTGTGGTTTGGCCCTGGTACATTAGGTTGTGTCCCCTGGGTACATTGTGGTTGTGTCCCCCGGTCATTGTGGTTGTGTCCCCTGTACATTGTGGTTGTGTCCCCTGTACATTGTGGTTGTGTCCCTGGGTACACTGGTTGTGGCCCCTGGTACATTGTGGTTGTCCCCTGTACATTGTGGTTGTGTCCTGGTACATTGTGGTTGTGTCCCTGGGTACATTGTGGTTGTGTCCCCTGTACATTGTGGTTGTGTCCTGGATACATTGTGGTTGTGTCCCTGATACATTGTGGTTGTGTCCTGGATACATTGTGGTTGTGTCCCTGGATACATTGTGGTTGTGTCCCTGGATTACATTGTGGTGCCCTGACATTGTGGTTGTGGCCCCTGGATACAGGTTGTGGCCCCTGGATACATTGTGGTTGTGTCCCCTGGATACTTGTGGTTGTGTCCCTGTACACAGGTTGTGTCCCCTGGATACATTGTGGTTGTGTCCCCTGGATACATTGTGGTTGTGTCCTGACATTGTGGTTGTGGCCCTGGATACATTGTGGTTGTGTCCCTGATACATTGTGGTTGTGTCCCTGGATACATTGTGGTTGTGTCCCTGGATACATTGTGGTTGTGTCCCATACTGTGGTTGTGGCCCTGGATACAGGTTGTGTCCCTGGATACATTGTGGTTGTGTCCCTGGATACATTGTGGTTGTGGCCCTGGATACATTGTGGTTGTGGCCCCTGGGTACATTGTGGTTGTGGCCCCTGGATACATTGTGCGTGGGCCTCACAGATGTGGTGTGGCTGTCTCTCTCATGGATATAGTGTGGGGTTGTATCAGGGTCATGAATGCAGTATGGACGTCTCGTGAATGCACTGTTGGCGTGCCATAGATGCATTGTGGGCAGAAATACTGTCATGCCTTGTTTATCTCATCTGTATTTTTTCATGGGTCATTGACGAACTGTTGTTCTGAGACACCAGTTTATTAATTCAGTCTGTGTAGAAGAAAACCGAGTGCTATTTAGACTAATTAAGTGCCCACTTTAGGAGTTCTGCCCTAGAACTTGTGTTTTACCTCGAGCTGTGTTCAGTCGGACTGATAACAAAACTATGTGTATGAAAGGCTCAATCTAGAGCAAAACTACTTGTATCAGGTATTAATTTATTGATTTTATTTTCAAGTTTAGCCCAAAAAAATAAGTATAGCATTTTATTAGAAGATTTCGGTGAAGATTTATGATTTGAATATTTGAAGAATCTGATTTGAATTGATGGACCTTAGTGACGTGTGTTGGAAAACGTCTAGTAACCCTGCCTGGATTATTGCGTATTTCTACGAACCCCGTCCTTGTTCTTATTCCAAACTGATTTCCCCCACTGTACCACCAATACCCTCCTTCATTTAATTAACCCCCCTTATCCCCCTGTTCCACCGGAAAACAATGTTGAAAGTTACAGGCCAGTTTACAGATCCTCGTACCCAATTCTGATGTGCAAGTTTTATTGGTCTATTTGCATCTTGGTCACACTAGCCACCCACCTTCCTTAATTCTTGTAAGGAAACACTTATGAAAGTGATGAAACTTTGTGTAGCACTGAACAGCTCATTCATTCCATTACCTACACGTCCTACAGTATAGATTATACACTGACATCACAGTACAGTATGAAGTTAGTCTAAGGCAAGTGATGGTGTATGTTTGTAGTGGTGACCTCATTGTATCTACATCAGCATGAAGTTAGATGCGGCTCTTCCCACTCTTGGCATTGGGCGTAGACATACATGGGGCGCGGGCGGTGGTGGAGGAGATACTGGATCCAACAGGGCGGGGTCCTGCTGCTGTTCAAGGGCACCATGAGCTCCTCCACAACCACCAATACCTGTCTTGAAACTGAAAGTTGTTCGGTTGTTGGGTTTTATGTAATGTTCAAAGCAGTGATGTTCGCGCCAATAGTTTGTATTTATATTTATCGTTTGTGCAAGGCATTTACTCTTGGGGTTTTCTTGTTTTAGTGAAGATTGTGTTAAAATTGTTGCGGGCATTCACTATTGATATTTTGTTAAATATTTTAACTCATAAATAGTCTGATATGTGGGTGTCCATTGTATTAAAGTTTGTTGTAATCAGATCGATGTGGTTGATGAAGTATTAGATAACTGAGGAGTGATTGAAAGGTGTCAAAATACTGGTGGCGAGTGTGGCGGTGAGTCATATGATAGCCCGAGGTTCATGAAGCCTCGTGAGAAACAGGTTGCATAGGTGTCGTGTGGATGGATGGTTGCAAAAGTTACCACTTTGGGTTATATATGTCTAGTTGATTATGTATGTACATGTACTGTATAAATGATGGTTTGTTGACCCATGCTCCAAGGGTCACCTTGCAGAGGCAGGTATCGGTGGTATTGATGAACTAGGAAGAGACAGACTGTAGTGTGTCGTGAGAGTTCCAGGCATGACTCACCACCTGCCGGCCTTAGTCACCATCACCGCAGCAATCTAGGCTGCCGCCGCCTCCGTCGTCACTCTCCTTCCTTGGGCTCCTCCTCCCTCTTAGCTCCTCCACACAAGGAGACCGTGCACGTAGTTCTATTGTGTCATCCACGAATACACAGGTGTCGCCTGTAGCCATCGCTCTTGTTTTTTTTTGGTGCTCACACAACTAGGCCAAATAACGCGTGGTCTCAAAATTGTCCCCTTTGATTCATATCAACCTTTTCTAACATATTTTTTCTATACCTTATATTATACGGGTATCTTTACCTCTTTACCCTTGTTTTTTGTTATTTTGTCTTCCTTGTTCTCACTCTTCACCTATTCACCTGTTACTCTCACCTATTCACCCCTTACTCTTGACCTCTCGACTCTTTTCATTTGTCCCAGTAATAATCGACTGAACGCTCTTCCGCCTTGCCACCCTCATCCTCCTCCAGGTCTCGCAACGCTTGCACCACCTGGCCGTTCTATCCCAGTACTCCTACCTCAGTCACGGATATCACTGTGGAGTTAGTGGCGTCCTTTGGGTTTTTGTAGTGTCGCGTGGTTTGATATACAATAATATACGTCATACAGACGCAACGGAAGACCATGCCGTGAGAAGATATATTAGTCTTGTGATACAATTTTGGTCGTATTATCGGGAACCATATGTACAACGAAACATCGTCATCTCCACTCGACTTTAATACACTGTGACGCCAAGATGGGGAATTCTCCAAGTAAAGACGCGAACAAGAAAAGAAACGGCAACAATTCAAAAGATGGCTGCCCTATGGAGGAAAACTATGATGAGGAAACGCCCACGCCCACGCGTGAAGTGCTACCCACGCTTAAGGTCGACTTCTTGCCGTATTCCACCGACTGCCAACCTCTCGTCGAAAATCAAGAAAAAAGGCAAACGTTCATCGTCACAGCCCACCCCAAAGACCACACCTATCAGTACGCCCACGGCGAAAAACAAGTTTGTGACAACGCCCACGTCCACACCGAAAGTGACGACCAAGTTTCAGTCCACTTCAAGTATTACACCAGAAACAAAGAACAAGCACAAGTCGACGCCTACAAGCACACCCAACGTTAAAAACAAGTTGAGGTCAGCGTCCAGTTATAAAGCGAACTCCTTGCCCACGCCCCAGATAAAGGTGGAATGGCCCAAGTCGGAAGGACCACCAATTGTCGGCCGGATGATTGAGGAAAAAGGTAAATATTTCATCATTGTTAAAATTATTTGTCGAAATGATACTGTCACGGTGGGAAGAGTGTGTGTGTGTGAGAGATAAGACGAGGAATGATTGCTCTTGACAGCATATGCATTTTCTTATTTTCTGTTGTTGTCTCACCCACTGGGATGACAACCAATTAAGGAGAGAAAGGACTATGGCTAAAGCAAGGTGAAGGTGGTCGTCTGATCGGGGACCTTGACTTGCTGCCAAATGTCTTTACTAATGACCACCTTAACTGGGTATTTAAGCCTTTACATTTTTTCTTGGCTTTGTGTAATATGTGTATTGTTACTTGCATTATAAGATGTTTCAGCTCCGTTATTCAAGTTCTCGATTATATTTTAAAGGAAAACTCGACATGTATGGCAGAGATACCAAAGTCTGCATAACTATCTTACAGTATGTACGGTATATACTTGGAGACACACACACACCACACACACACACACACCACACCCTCCACACACACACACACACACCCTCCACACACACACACACCTCCACACACACACCTCCACACACACACCCTCCACACCACACACAACCCTCCACACACACACACCCACACACACACCACACCCCACACACCACCCACACACACACACACACACACACCCCACACACACCCCACACACACACCCTCCACACACCCTCCACACACACACTCCACACACACACACCCTCCACACACACACACCCTCCACACACACACACACACACACACCCACACACACACACACACACACACACACACACACACACACACACACACACCCTCCACACACACACACACACACACACACACCTCCACACACACACACACACACACCCTCCACACACACACACCCTCCACACACACACACACACACACACCCACACACACACACACACACACCCCTCCACACACACCCCTCCACACACACACACACACACCCTCCACACACACACACACACCCTCCACACACACACCCCACACACCCTCCCCACACACACACCCTCCCCCCACACACACACACACCTCCACACACACCCTCCCACACCCCACACACACCCCACACCCTCCACACACACCCACACACACACCCTCCACACCTCCACACACACACACACACACACACACCCTCCACACACACACACCTCCACACACACACCAACCACACACCCACACACACAACACCCACTACCCCACACACACACACAACCCACACACACACACACACAACTCCACACACACACCCACAACCCACACACACCCACACACAACCCACACAACCCACACACCACACACACACACACACCCTCCACACACACACACACACACACACCTCCACACACACACACACACACCCTCCACACACACACACACACCCTCCACACACACACACACACACCCTCCACACACACACACCCCCTCCACACCACAACACCCACACCTCCACACACACACACACACCCTCCACACCCTCCACACACACACACACACCTCCACACACACCCCCACACACACCCCACACACACACACACCCTCCCCACACACACCCTCCCCACACACACACACACCTCCACACCCTCCACACACACACACACACCCTCCACACACCTCCACACACACACCCTCCACACACACTCCACACACACACACCTCCACACACACACCTCCACACACACCCTCCACACACACACCCCACACACACACACACACACACCCTCCACACCTCCCCACACACACCCTCCCCACACACACACACCTCCCCACACACACACACCTCCACACACACACACACACCCTCCACACACAACCCTCCACACACACACACACCTCCCCACACACACACACACCCCCCCACACACACAC